AACGTTATCTCTGAGGAAATAAGGCGCAATTGTGCGATAGCTGAGTTATCACCAATTTTGAGGGCGACTCCATACAAATTTTCAGAGAAATCGTTGTAATTGCGCCATAAACATCGATACAAGATAAATATTACGTTATAAGGTATGCATTTACTGATACAAAGCACATTCAAGCAAAAAAAAGAGACATTTCAAACATCAGATAAAGTTGTCTATGGAGCAACTGGGTACAGCCCAATGTGTGGCGCTAGTTTGTGTTGGCATTATACTAGTCAAATCTGCCCTACTGATTAAGTATCCTGGCCAAGTGTTACATTGCTGTTTTATTGACATTTATATATTTTAACATCTTGGTTTTACTTTCGTACAAATATATTTTTATTTTTTTTTAGTTTAACACCTTTATATCTTCCAGATTTTCAAAATAATTCAGTGAGCATTCAGTTAATATTTACAGATTTTATCATAAAATAATTTTCAATAAGCACAGAAGATAACCTAAATCGATCAGTTGTCATTGTTAATGTCATCTGTCAGACGTCAAATTAGAATTGGTCATGTCAGTCAACAATATTGATTCATTCTAAAATTCTGAAACTGTACATTACTATCAACTATAAATTAAAAAACATAACTTTCTTCTATATACAAAGCAATGTTATTAATTGGATTATTATAAGTTTATCATTTTTTAGTTCTTAGAAGTTTAGCCTCTAAGTTTTGTTTTACGATACGTCCATTCTTGTGTTATTATGACAATGAATCTTGAAATCAACAGATTAAATACTTTTACAAACTGGCCGGCATGTGCCTTGATAAATCCTGTAAGAATTGCGAAAGCGGGATTCTTTTACACGGGACAAGGAACGGAAGTGCAATGTTTTAGCTGTAATGGAAAACTTGCGCAATGGAATTGTGGAGATCAAGTAATGGGGCGACATCGCATGATGTCTCCTAATTGTGCATTTGTATTAGACCCTCAGTCGTCCGGAAACGTCCCCTTCATGCCTGGAGGAGATAGTCCATCAACTGATGAGCCTGTAGCTCTTTCAGAATCACCTCAGAGATCTTCACCTGATGATCAAAATAATGATGAATCACCTCAAGATTATGGTCACACAGAAGAAGATGAAATGTATAAAACTAGTATACTTAGATTGCTTTCATTTACTAATTGGGTTGTAAGTTTATCATATATTATTTTTATTCATATTTATTGAATGTGGATGGCTACAAAGGAAGAGGAAAACCAAAAAAAGTATGGATGGATTGTGTGAAAGAGGATATGCTTAAGAAAGGAGTGGTTTCAGATATGACAGCAGATAGAGATGTATGGAAGAGCAGCACATACTGTGCCGACCCTCCCTAAGGGATAAGGGCAAGTTGATGATTCATATTTATTGTTGGAATAGTAATTGTTTTTTGTGAATTTCACACTATTAATATTATTTAGAGCTAAGCAAGTTTATTGGTTTTGAAATCATTTACAAATTATGTTTATTCCTTGCAGGATAGTTCAGTATCTCAAGAGGCTTTAGTGAATGCAGGCTTCTATCACGCAGGCGAGGGCCGTCTCCGTTGTGCCTGGTGTGGAGGTGAACTTGCACCATTTAGAAATTTTGGTACATTGGGATCACCCCTTGAAGTACATAGAATGTAAGTAGCTCAACTTTGAATTTCATTAGTGTTATATTCCAATGTTTTTATTGAAGAATGTGAAGGAAAATTGATGCAAATGGCTAATATATGGAAAGGAATTCTAAAATCTATGTGAATTAAACCAACCAATAGTGGGCCGCCATATTTCATTAAGTCCTAGCCACCTTTAACATGCCTACTATCATCTTCATCATCTATGCCTTATCCTACTCCCATAGGGTCGGCGCGCCGGGTTTTCGTCCTCCAAAGCACTCTATGTCTGTTAACATGTCTGCCATGTGGTAGATATTTTTTTTATTTTTACTCTAGTTATTTATGTATTAAGTTCTTGTCTGAATAATAGGGATACTTCACATATAATAATTTGAATATAATTTGTTAGATAAGAGCAAAGTGAATGTTATCTTTTGTTCAATTCAATATTTCCCCTGACAGGTACTTCCCCCGATGCGCGCATGCCATAGCTCTTGAGGCAGAACAGCGCAACAATTATGCGATTGGGCCGACCCAGCCCTGGGAAGAACCAGACATACCTGACAACACTGATAATAATCGGCCACAATCGTAAGTTTATTGTTAAGGCTATAGATTTAAATAAATTGCAGAATGGACTTTAAAATTATTACTTTCATATAGCATTAGTTACCTTTTAAATAGTGTAATAACTTGCCTAGTAGTTTTTGATTTATTTCAATACATACAAAAATACAAATATTTCCTCTTTATAGTATTTGTATAGATAGATGTGCTCCTAATGTTATAACTCCAATACACTGCGAGTGTCAGATCAGTGGGGATGTATAGTGAGTGGTTAATTTGGAGTGGGTACATGCGGGGTGCAGTTCCGGCGCGGTGCTGAACGCGCGCGTGATGGCGGCGGGCGAGTCGTGGCGGTCGCTGGGCGTGGTCGGGGGCGGCGCGCGCCACGCCGCATACGCCTCGCTCGCCTCGCGCCTGCAGACTTTCAGCCGCTGGCCGGCTGACCGCCCGCAGGACCCTAAAGCCTTGGCCGAGGCTGGATTTTATTATACTGGGATTGATGATCAGGTACAATCATTTTACAGAGTTGGAAAAATTGAGGCTTTAATAGTAGCTTCAGTAGTCAAGCATGATGTAATGTTATGTGTAAATCAACTATGAATCAGATCAAAATATCATACCGTTGAACTGGTGAGTTGCGGCTCAACAACTGTGATGATGAGTTGTGAACTGTCCGGGGACTTCCAACTCACTCAAATCATACATCTGAGGTTGAGCTGATCTGCAGTTCAGCAGTTTTAGTAATGTTTAAAAGTTGATTAAGAATGAGTGCCCATAAGGGGGAGAGTGACTTACAAAGGAATAGATGAAATAACTTGTAAGGAGTCAAGAAGGTGCGTGCGGAGCATAAATCTGCCCTCCGACGATTCGACCCGTATGACCCGAGGGTCGAAGAGGCTATGGATAGTGGAGGATAGCATAAGTATGTTTATGCTTGTCTAAATAGGTGCGTTGTTTCTACTGCGACGGGGGGCTGGGCAAGTGGGAGGCGGGCGACGCGCCGTGGTCGGAGCACGCGCACTGGTTCCCGCACTGCGGCTACCTGCTGCTGGCCAAGGGACAGGAGTTCGTCGACACCTACAGCAACAAGGCCTCCGTGCAGCGAACTGTCAGTGCTGCTTTTCTACCCAACACTTTCTTCATTGACGATCAAACAATGTTATTGATTTATGTTTGTTAACGTTTTCAGTTGTCGGCCGACAGCGGTCTCAGTTCAAGACGACGTAATCCAAGAGTTAAATTTCCAGTTACCGATAGTCAGGTGAGAATTTGCACTTATCCTTATTTAATAATATTAAAAGAATTTTTGAAATTGGTCCATTAGTTTTTGAGTTACTTCAATATATACGAAAATGCAAACCTTTCCTCTTTATATTACCAAAGATTATTTATAGGTTCTAAGATTACACTCACTAATTTTACCTTTCACCTACTGGTCTACTCTAGAAAGCGTCAGTATATTGATTTAACGGTGTAACGGTGTAAATTCGTAATGGTGTAATGGTGTAAGGTGGAGGAGTGCATGGAGGGCGCGGCGGTGCTGGCGGCGCTGGGCGCGGGGCTGGACGCGGCCCGCGTGCGCCGCGCCATCGTGCACAAGCTGCGCTCCACGGGTCAGTTACATCATCATCATCAGCTCACTATACATCATCACCAGCTCCCAGCACCACCCTAAGTTAGGGTGACTAGGACATAGTCATCGACGCATTGCGGGTTGACTTCACACATATCTTTGAATTTGTTCCTCGATATGTGCAGTCATCACGATGTTTTCCTTCAGCGTAAGAACGTCGGGTAAATTATGTACAAATGAAATTCGATAAATCACATTGGTATATGCCGGGATTCGAACGCAAGACCTGTAGGTTATAAGTCAAGTGCTTAAACCATTGATCCACCGACATTCCGACCGGTCAGTCTACTATTAGGTGTTTTTTACTGCTGGGTTGCTGACGTTTCCATTTATTTTATCATTGCCTAGTGATTAGTTCAGTGTTAGGTTGAACTAAATTTCAAAGGAGTTAAACTAGTTATGTAGGTCGGAAACATGTTTCATGAAGTTAACCGAACACTAAAGAATGGTTAAAAGTAGCTGGGCAAACTGGCCATAAAGGAAACCATAGAAAAACTTACTTTTTTAGAACACACAGATTGCACAGCTCCGAGAAGTTTAAGTGTCAGTCCTATCATATTGTAAATTGACTGATAACCATCCAACTTGTAAAATGTAATAGAAATATTGGATTTTGTCACCTTATACAGTGACGTCATTTTCAAGTTATCTGAGCCTCTCTCAGCTGGGACAGGCCCTAATTCTTACGTTGCCCATTATTAAAAGACGCGTATCTCTTGATACGGTAGTGGATATTTCCCCTTTCTCAGGATGCCATTCCCCGTCTTTTTGTAAGGTGTTGAGGTGTGGTTCTGGTCGTGCAGGTCTGCCGTTCAGCTCGTCGGAGGCGCTGATCGACGCGGTGCTGGACGAGCAGTTGAACGAGGAGCCGTTCAGCACGACGCCGCAGCGCCTCGCCCGCGACATCCTGGCCGTCACGCTGCAGGACCTGCCGGCCTCCAGGTGTGTCTAGCCTCAAAAAACCACTCTTTTAATTGTCTTCTTTTCTATAGTACTAGCACACACACACAGGAAGGGAACACCCTTACTGTGGACGCCCTCTGCCCCACTTTGGGGACATAGGAATAGAAGAGAGAGCTGTTCCCTTGCAGCTTTATCCGCTTAGAATAACTTTATTTTATTGTTTACGCTTGTATAACTTTCAATTGCATTTTAATATTATAAACGCGAAAGTTTGGATGGATCGTTGATTGTTAGAGTTTGTAACCTAAACTGCTTAATGGATCTTGATGAAAGACAGACTTAGATGACAATCTAGAAGAACAAGAAGGCTCTTTACTTAAGTTTTTTTTAATTCCACGTGGACAGAGTCGCGGGCGAAAGCTTGTATCATCATAAATATGGTTTTAAAATAAAAATCATCTTTTCTATATACTTGGCAAAGTATTAAATGAATTGTAAAAAAATGTTGAGAAATATATTAATTTTTTGTTCTAACATTTGAAAAAAAAATTATTCCAGGTTAATACCACCGTTTCGACGTGGAGAGGAATCTGAAAGCAGATCCGATTCGGACAGCCCTTCTGCATCTCCGACTCCCGCGGCCAGATATCTAGCACCTTCTAGAAGCAGAAATGTAGTTCCTTCTAGAGCGTCCCTGCCGACACAACCTTCTAGAAGTGAAAAATCACAGACGCGTTCTCTGAGCTCCAGCAAAGAACGGAAGATAAGTGGAGATAAGAAAAGACAGGGAAGTCCTGCGCCGCAGAAAAAGGAATTGACTCTAGAAGAAGAGAACAGGCAGCTAAAAGAAGCTAGGCTCTGCAAAGTGTGCATGGACAGTGAGGTTATTATTATTTTTTTAATTTTACGTCTTCTGTCATTTGTTTCCAACCTTTTAGTTCTCTAGAGCACATTCTAAAATATCGGTCGAGTGGCGAACATCACTTATTTTTAAAAGGGAATATGCATGCATTTTTTTTTTCTTATTTTAAACGATTATACTTGTTATACAATAACCAGAAAAAAAAGCGAAAATATTCAACCATTGAGCTAAAATAATAAAATGAAATTACGACTATTTTCGAACGACTAAAAGGCGACCGGAGTTGTCATGAGACAATTGACGTCAATCGTCATATTCCATTCATAACATACGCTCAGATGTCACTTCGACGTAAAAAAACAACAAAGTCTCTTCTTCTAGTAATTGCTTCCCAAGGTCAAAAAGTCAAAAATTGATTTATTTTTATTATTCCTGGTACAAATAAGTGGTAAGTAATAATTCTATTTATTATTATTTTATTTTAAAGTTGGATATCTTGTTTATAGTAAAATATTTCAAGAGTGTATTTCTATATAAACTAACGTTAATGAACTGTGTATTGACCACACAGCGACGCCATATTAGATAAGCCACTTGCTTCGACCAATAGTGTGCGTATTAGAACTTAGCAAGGGAATTTGAAAAAAAACACTTTTTAATACTTAAATTTTGCCACTAAATCACATTATATTAAAAAAAAATTCCAGGAATGTTTTTATAGTAATAAAGTATATTTAAAAAAAGTTCGGTACAATAGGCAATATGCATGACGCCAAATTATAGGTATCTTCATTAAATTTTTTAATTAAAATTAAAATTGGTTAATGTTGGTGCAGGTGAGCGTGGTGTTCCTGCCGTGCGGGCACCTGGTGTCGTGTGCGGGCTGCGGCGCGGCGCTGGCGGCCTGCCCGCTGTGCCGCGCCGTCGTGCGCGCGCTCGTCCGCGCCTACCTCGCCTGACCCCGCCCCTCCCCCGCCAACACCACCAGCACCACCAGCACCCCGCACAGGTATCACACCACTATCACACACAAAACACTTCTTTCACAAACGTTTTAAGCTTGTTCCGTTTACGTAACCAGTTAGGTTAGGTTAGGTTATTTCCGTTTTCGTAACTTTAGGGTGCGTGTACTTTTCTATTTTCCGGGCCATCTATTATTATTATTATTAAGTAAACTATTACTTTTCCTGCAAATTCTAAATAGTGGCTGTATGGGTGTCCGCTAGTTTCGGACAAAGCAGTATTAGCGGTTTGGTATCCGGACACTTGCATTTTTGCGTGCCGGAGATCTTTGGGCGTTTGTCGCCTTATGGTGTAAAAAAATGAAATATTAAAAATTGTGCAATTAAGTATTTAAAACATAAAAATCGCGACAAAACTTAAAATGTCAATTAGATCGAAATTAAATTATGTCATCTATTGGGTCTTGAAATCGATAATTTTGTGACCGTTGCGACGCGATAGCGAATAAAGCCGACAACCACTCACCCTGAAGAAGGACCCCCTACGGGTTTGCAACTGGTCGGTGCCTACACCGAAAGTTCCCACATGAGTTTTAGCCGGGTTATAAATGACATTTCTTATAGTAATATAGTTTAAAAGGAATTATTTTGTTTCAGTACGGAACAAGAAACGCCGTCTCGTGGGCGCGGGTCCCGCGCGCGGCGCGCGATCGATGACGGCTCCTTTAGGTGCATTACTATTTAATAAGAATAACACTATTAAACATTAATAAACCCGCAAACAACACTAAAAAATCGTATGATATTTATTTTATTTTATAACATAAGGTGGCAAACGAGCAAGCGGCCACTAGAATCCGCCAGAATGGCGAAGTGACCGCTGCCCATAGACATCCGCAATTGCAGATGCGTTGCCTACCCTTATACGACGGAGGAGGACAGCACATAAAGAGGATATTTCCCCTTCCTATGCATCTCCTCCACCGTATTCAAACTTCATACGATGTTTTTTTATAAGTTAAAAAAAAATATGACGTAAGAATGCTGATCATATAGGCTAGGATATTTTTTATGTTCGTACGAAATATTAGTTAAATTCATTATCTAATATCTGCTGATTAGTATAAATGAAAGAAAAAATAAATCTTATAGCATTTAACCACGCGGGTCTTGTTGTTAGATGTTTAACGTGTTTGTTGACGTTTTGTCGTTGTACAGTTAAAGCGTCAGTAATAAACAAGGATATCTAAGGGCCTGTCCCACCACTGTCTGATAGAGGCTCAGATAGCTTATATGATGTCACTGGAAAAAAAAACAATCCGATATTTCCAGCATATTTTTTACGTCGCATTGTTATCAGACAATTTACAATTTAATGGGACTGGCTCTATTTCTATGAATTGTTTATAGGCTGAATAGAAATATTATTTCAATGATTGTATCTAAACCGTACAAAAACAATTTTAAAGCTAGTTAATAATATTTAAAACATTACCTATAAAATATAACTAATTTATATGTCTGAATATAATCAAAAATTGAAATACATTCAAACAAAAACAGCGAATGTGGTGCCCTTAAATTGATTTTTTAAAACAATTCAGTTTATGTTGTACCATAAATATAAACAGCTTGTTTGTTGGTAATATTAAATATATTTATAGGCCGCTTTAAGAATCCTAATATTTAATATTTCTGTAACTTATGATGTATTTATTATATAATATAGTATGTTATATTTTTCGATTTAGTATTTTATTAGTAGGTTTTGTTATGTTTGGAAAACAAAAGTTTCCACATAAATCTCTATAAAAATCTTTCAAATCAATATAAACATATAATGGACAAAATTTAACTCATAAATGTCATTCATTCATTCATTCATTCATTTTTGACATTTGAAATCTATTTTAAAATATTGATATGCACTAAAAACTATTAATTTGATGTAATCTCGTAAGTTAGTTTTTATTCATAGTGAAATTAAAATAAGAAATTAATTTTAAAGTAATTAAAAATGCGCATATTTAATTTTTAATGCCTACCAAAGTTTATTTGTTCAGGTTTTACAAGATTTTTTTGCTTAGCTAATGTTTTGAGTATAAGTTTGTTTTGTTAAATTGTCTATGGTAATACATTTTAATTATTGAGTAATTTTAATAATGTCAACACCGTCTGAAAATAATAAATAACGCTATTTTAATATCAATTTTTAAATAAAAAATATACAGGCTTAAGTAATAGCAGAACAATGTAAATAGCTTTTTGAAAACATAGATTAATTGTTTGTAAATAAATGCACTGTAAATCCATATAAAATGACTAGTTTTTGGCTTACCGTAGAATGAATATACAATAAATACAATACAAACAAAATAACAAAGCAACAAATGTGAACCAATCTATTTTGAGTAACCAATTTACTTGTATCTGCATAAAGCTATATATTTAAAATGTAATTTTAAAATAGTACAACAGATTAAAATTTTACCTCAAACCCTAAACTTTAGATAAACAAACATAGAAACAAACCTCCTTTATAGAAATTGGTTGAACAAAATCATATTTACTATAGGTTCTGTAACTTGTAAAATAACCTAAAATTAATGTAGAAATAACAGAAAACCGGACTGAAATAAATGAAACAGCGCCATCTATTGTCTGTATTTCAAAAAATAGATTTTTTAAAGTAATGACCTACGTTATTTTATTTTTCATTCTTATTTTAAAAGGTAAAAACAAACTTACATGCGCGCAAAATATGCTCTTGTCAGTCGGTTGAATAATGTTTTTGCTCTGTCCTTTCCTAGAGAATAGAGAGAGATAACATGTTTTTACACATTATTAAAATAATTGACAATATTGAGTGGTTTACAAAATATTTGTAGTGTTAACATTCGGAAGGATTAGACGACTATATTATTAGGGTAAAATTGTTATACGTAGTATGGTAGTGTTGCCAGCTGTTGTTGTTGTATTTACAGTGTGCAATATTTTTTGTACACTTGTTTTTGCAGTGAAAATCACTAAAATATATTTTCACGTAAGTTAAAAGGAACGTAAATTGCCTTAATGCTTGTTAGTGTTTTTCCAATGTTAATTAATATTAAAGTAACAAAAACGATTAAGAGTTGATGTTTAAAACTAAATATAGTTCGACAAGTTTATCTGGCCCGGTGTGAAAAGCGATGCTATCACGATTAGTTGTGTCAGGAATTATGTACAAACTACGTAAAGCAAAAAGAATATACAAAAAGTTTTCGATAGAAATTGTGGCTTTGATATTGACAGTGTTAATAAGCTATATGATTTAGTTTGACTTTTGCCTACCGGGTCAAATAACGTTGTCAATCTATAAGTATACATTGCATAGAATTAGAAATGTTATTGGAAAATTATTAATAAATTAAATGTTAGGCATGTATACTCCTATATTTATTAGTATGTTTAAATGTAGATCATTACTAGATAACGTGTTACAAATATCCAACAGCGCGGGAGAGCACTGAGGCGTTTGTATAAAAAATTAATTAGTCCAACATCGCCGCTTGTATTAGTGTGGGTTACACTGCACTGTTAGGCCTTTAGTAGACAAGGAAATGTACAATAAATTATTGAAAACATCGACATTTAGTCCATATTTTAAATCAATATACTTAAAATAAAATTAAATACCGATATGTATATGATTTAACAGACAATCACCATTTATTTAATGTAATTATAGTTAATTTAGTTACTACCTAATATATGTAAATAGTTACACCATTACGAATTTAAGGGCCTATCCCACCATTGGCTGATAGAGGCTCAGATAGCTTAAAAATGACGTCATTGTCAGATAAGGGAACAAAATCCGATATTTCCATCACATATTTTACATGTTATCAGACAATTTACAATTCGGTGGAACAGGCCCTTATATTCCTATATAAAACGCATATAGCTTTGTCACTTTTTGCTAACTTGGTTTATTTATTATAGTTTTAGGTTATTGATATTTATTATTGCTCGTTACACTGAACAGACGCAGCGTTGACGTTTCAACGCGTAGACGACGTGTTAACGTCGGATATCGCCCGCGTGTCATTTTATCGTGTACATGTACTGAGGGAAATTCATTTGTATTGCATGTAAAGTATAGCCTGATAAACTTATCTGGCCTCTTAGCTATCAGAAAAATCAATATTGCATTTCTACAAGGATATTGAGACATTTTTTGACTTTGACATCTGTGATCTGTTGACTTTGGAACGCTCCCATACCAGGCTAGATAAGTTTGTCGCACTATATTTTGAAATATTGACTCTGATGCGGATATTGGGATATCTTAGCAGTATCGTGTGTTAATAAAATTATAACTTACCTTCGGCTTATACGCGGTGATACATAGTTACCAAACTGGTTGACAACTTGGTTTTCGGTTCATCATTAATGCGAACTGCGTTTTAATTCGTGGTTACCTTACATCAGGTTTGTAAAATTCTTCTGTTAACCACTAGTGCAATAGGTTTGTGCATCACAAAAGTATGTTTATAAAAATTTAATGTATTTAAAAAACAGTTAATTAGTAATGGTGATGTAGTTAAGTAGTTGTATAGTTTTAATTTATCACAATGCATTATAAAAATTGAAATAATGTATTTTTTTATTTATTTACCACTGTAACCCTAGACTTAGATGTTTGAAGTCATTTAGCTTATGTTAAAAGTTATTGCGTTATATTAATTACTAGTGTTCGCCCGCGATTACGTTAGCATTGAATTAAAAAAAAACTAAGTAGGCTACATAGCCTAAGAACACATGTTCTTCCAGACTGTGCTCTACATCTATGCCAAATTTAATCGAAATCCGTTTAGCCGTTTAGGCTTCAAATTCCAACAAATATCCATTTATCCATATAAACTTTCGCATTTATAATATTAGTAAGATAAGATGTACTTATGAATGTTTTTCTTTTACCAAAACCTGTAGTTTACAATTTCTTATATTTTGTAGTTGGATTATTTTATTTTGATGTAAATAACGATTAAATTTTAGGCGGGTGTACTGTGGTATTCGGGAATGTTTTTTTTCAGTGGCCTAACAGGTAGCAGCCCTGTTGCCGTCTGGACAGAAATAAACCTGCCTGAAGAGTTCAGGAATAGCGCAGACGCGGAGCCGACGCTTTTGGAAATGTATTAATATGCGAAACGAAAAGCTAGACATTTCAAGAGACAGATACAAACGCATATTAATTTATTTAACTAAAGATTGTTGACCCTATGCAAGTTCTCTAGCCGTCGACTTCCACTGCCGCAATATACATCCCTGTCATTGTTGACAAAACATATCTCTACTAATATAAAGAGGAAAGTTTTGTATTTTTGTATGTATTTGATTCACGTAAAAACTACTGGGCCGAATTTAAAAATTCTTTCATCTTTAGAAAGGTAATTTATTTGTGGGTTACATTGGCTATATTGTTAAATGCATTTTTTTTTCAATTTAACGCGGACCAAGTCGCGAATGGTAATACTAGAATAATGTAAATGTAAGAGCAATGAAATTTTACGGTAATACATATTTGTGAATCCGGTGTTGAGTGTTCTAACCTTAAAAGTTTTGGAGGGTACTGTAGACAATAAAATATTTTATGGTTTATTATCTGTAAAAGAAATTGGTTAGCAACAAAATGATAAGCTTATCAAATAATTTGTTGTTACATTGGTCATCCCATATCAGTGTAATTAGTAAGTAGTGAGTGTAGTTTCCCGTTCAATTGTTAACTATTAAAAGGGAAATCATTCTTCATACAGCCGAATACTGAATCGAATTTAAAACACTGCTTCGTAAATGTAATGTCAGAATGTAGGGGACATTCTGACATTACATTTAATATACATAAAATGTTAATAGAATTTAAGTTTAAGAATCTGTAATATATTTAAATGTCGTTTTAGTGTTCGTCCGTAAGTTTAAGATAATATTTACGTCATGGAACCGATAACAGATGTCGCTAGTAGGTAGTATAAAACTTGATGCAGTGGACTTTAACCGCACAGTAACTGGTAGGGAGAGGTGAGTCAGCGTAAAGGTGGAATTAATTAAAGGATACTGGCCGGTCGCATAGACGCAACGTCCTTGCAAGGCTGCACTAGCAAACGCCCCTCTACTTCGCAATGCAATATCCAATTCAACGTTCTAATACTATAAACACCAGTTTATTGTTACAGTAAAATAAGGTTTATAATTTCTGTATGTTTTAAACTTTATTGACTCAGACATAATATAATATAATTTTATTTGTACAAAACTTTTCATTTTACAAAGTAAAATAATTATATGGAAAATTTCATCTCCCAATTATATTGAAACTCGTGAACCCTTGCGCCATTTGAGTTATGGTTTCTTCTAAGCATGAAAAGAACTTCGCAATTAACTTAACAAATGTTATAACATTTATAGGAAAATCCTGTTTTATAGCATGTTTGTGTTTATAAATAATATCAATCGTTCATGTCTCTCACGCGTGTTTCCGGCCTTACCGACAAGTGACCTCATTGTACACAGCTATAATAACTATGCGCTCACTCAGCACCTTGTCCTCTGAACCGGACGTTGAACAGCTGTCTTTTATACACGAGGGCAGTACATCAGAAGAGTACTATTATTCTTTGAACTCATATGCCGAAAGAGTATGTATGTATGAATAGTTGTACTGTACTGTATACTTTGTAATGTCTTAGTGTGAAACTAGTATTATTCAATGAAGACTCGCTATTTGTTATTCCAACTCTTGTATGCAGTTTCTAGAACTATATCTTCGTTGTGTAGACATGTATTCCAAAGTCTATAACGTTGATTTCTCTTTGGAAATATTATTATCTTAATTAAGAACGTTGCTGATAAAAGTTTTACATTACAGTATAAAATGTAGTAATGAGAATATAAAACATTTGATTATTATTTAATTAAATGTTTTGTTTAATTCTGCGAGCCATATTGTTAAATTTTTATGTCTCATACAAGTATGTACATACATTAGGACTTTCTTTAGTCAATTCGTAGTAAATAGCTGTTGAATATTTATAACAATCGTCGCGTTATACCTTTGTGTTACTTTTCCGTTAAAGGTAATCCTCGTTGAAGGGCGGCGTTCGCCCACTCGCCTGGTACAATAATATACAAACTTTATAGCAGCTCGCTATTTAACACACGTGAAACTGAGGACAATTTTAGATACAGAAGGAACATATACCTGGTTAAAATCCAAAGCCTTAACAATAAACATAAGTAACATGTGCCCCTTAACTTAAAACACAAACAAAAAAAATTAAAACAGTCCGATCGGAATACCGCTATTTACCTATATATAAAATTTTAAACACAGTATAGATATCTATGTTATGTGCCTTTTGCAGCGTACAGCTGTTGCCTTCCTTCACCTGTAGTATCGTTCCACTGTAGAAATGTGCTCACAGGTAACCAAGAGCCTTCCTAAAGTTTGAATGTAATTATACATGATTACAGTAGAGTCGACAGTCGCGACATAGTGGGCGCATAGCGAATCCATGGCGCCGCGGCCATATCCGTCTTACAGCTTGGACATACGATTTATGGAACAATCAATAATTCCCCTGAGCCCGTTTATCAGTTTTTAGTATTATAACTACATAGAAACCGATTGTAGGATTATTACACTTGGATTATTATATGTAGTTTCTATTAAGTTTTTACCTAAAACCATGATCCTCAAGGTAAATATTTGTTAGGTTACATCGTCGTTCAATTTGTGAAAGCAACATTTTTTTCTTAATTTTTAATGGTAAAATGAAATTAATTAACTGCGTAATTTCCTTTTCTTCTTCAGTAAGAAACTCTTTAGTCTCCAGGACATACACTTTTTTATCTTAACAATGTTTTATTACATTACTTAAGTTTATCAGGCCCTATCGTTCATACTTATAACAAAGAAAGGTGAATATAGAAAATATATAATAGCCCACGTATTTAAATTCTGAAATGTATGTAAATTCTGAAGCTTTCAGGGTTAAATATCCAAATGCTTATTTTTTTTTCTTCCTGCTCGTTTTATATAGCAATGTCATTAAACTCTGACTATTTCGAAGACCACATATACATTTGTGTTGGTTGCTAAGATTCAATATGCAGCTTAACCACTCTATCTTGAATTAACTGTCTTCAGTTAGGCGGTGTTATCCTCAATGCTATAAAAGAGCTAGTTTCTGTCAACTCTCAAAGCTAAGTGGCCAGCAATAAAGAATCCAAAAAGGTTATATATCGTTTTGTAAACTTGCTACCATAAACAGTGTTGGTAGTGGCGCCCCCTGGTATGGAATTAGCGTCGGACTGCGTGGGCGCCGTGAGTCAGAGGCACTCCTTAGTTCGGCCGCGTCCCGCATTGCTGTGTGCTGCCATTCATCACGGATTAAACAGCCACATAGGCATAGACAATACCTAGCTTTGTTAGCAGGAAAATATTATAGTACTGGCTGTTGCTCGCGACTGCGTCTGCGTGAAATTAAAAAGAAATAGCCTATGTTGCTCACAGAATAATTATCTTTCTAATGGTAAAAGGATTTTTGAAATAGGTCCAATGGTTTTTACGTAAATCGAATATATACAGAAATACAAATCTTTACTCTTTATAATATTAGTATAGACAACACCATCTATAATTATTCTTATTGTATTTAGAAGAGAAATCATTTTGTAACTACTTGCAGACACATTTTCAGTATTATCTCAACTTTGCAAAAGCGAAAATAGAGGTAACCACTCTCTATATCTCTCTCTAAGTGTCTCTCCACTAATGGTGGTTGGCTGTCAGCTCAGCGAACTTTTCCCGGTCTTGTGCCATGCGAAATAGGTGTTCTACGCTGGCAATATTCAAAATCACTCTCGATAGGGTAATTCCTTAAAAGAAGGGGCCTCTCTTGTTCCTAAGGGGATATCCGAAACACTATTGCGATTATGTTGATATTTCAATACACATTATGTTATTTAAATACTAAACAAACGTTTTACAGTTGATATTAGGGCTACTTGATGCCTTAAGGCATTCTTTAGCAGTCAATTTCATGTTAACGTCAAATTTGATATATACAGGTTAAATCAGAGTGTTTCTTAAAATTATTGGTAGTTAATTATAGCACTGTATCGGTAGATTGGAAAGGTAAAGTAGGACATGTTATGTTTGAAGTATAATTGGTGAAATCAATACTGATTACTGCTTACCTTTTTTGCACGGTCAAATATGGAGGAATACACCGGTAGAGGTAGAGCTACAAAGAGATTGATGTATTGCGTGAAAGGTGATATGATCCAGAACGGAGTGATGACTGAGATGACGGGGGATACAGTTATGTGGAGGACGCAAACCCGGTGCGCCGATCCTACGGGAGTAGGATAAGGTAAGGGAGATGGTAAAGATAGTTTTCGCACAACTTTCTAACTTCGCACATTTCCCGCAATATTTTGAGATGATTAGTCTATAGAATTCACCTTGTTTTAAATAATCATCGTTTTATAACACGGTTGGTACTTTTTTCTACTTTGTTGTTAATGAATAACTTCATATTGGATACCTCAAACATACTTTATAGATTCGCGCTCTGACATCATGTTTCATGCTAAAAACTTATTTTTATTTATTTTTTTTATTTACTTACATACAGAAAAGAAATATATAAAAATTTACAAATAAAAATGTCGCCAAACTGCACAGCAGTTTGTTGGCGACAAACACCTATTTCTTATAAATATACCTTAATGTATCTCCTACTTAATTCTTATATATTTACTAGTTACATTAATCTTGTAAGAAATGATTTCTTCATTTTTTTTTACAATGTTTTTGGATTTATTGACAATGCTTTTCGCTTTGCTATCGCGTTTTACTTATAAAATCACTCCTTTAAAGTAGAGAGTAAGTAGAGAGTAAAAAATATTGTAAATCTTACTAATATTATAAATGTAAACACCAACCAAGCTCTTTTACTTTATATTGCATTCTAACATATACCGGGTAAAACTAGTCACTAAATAAATCTCAAATTTTCCTCCAAGTAGTATGAAATGGGTGTGCATTGTTCTGCGCGAGGACTTTAGCATTCCAAGCTATCAGTTGCAGACTGGGTCAGCCGATAACCGCGGTGTCGTGTGCGCGCATAACATTCCATTCGCGGTTCTCGCTAACGTATTGTATAATTAGTCAAGTGGAATTCCTTGAATTTATTGCCTAGGGTAATGTTTTTCGCGAGAATATGAGGTTATGTCCCTTCCCTCGTGACCTCTTTAACGCATGAAACATTTCATAGAATGAAGTATCACTAGATATTCGGAAAATTACTGCTACGTTTACTCGATACGTAATTTGACCTAACTGTTAAGGAAACAAACCAAAGGAGAAAAGGCAAACTACCCACCTGCAACAAAAATTGAAAAAATCGTCATTATTATGTTACTTAACTTACGTCTCGTAAGCATAAATAGAACTTATGAAGTTACCTGGCTATCTTACGCGAGTATGTTGGTAAGTAGCTTATTTGGAATGTTTATTGGCGTACTGTTTATATTAGTTAGTATGATAAAATTAACTTCAAAGAGCTTTTAATTTATGGCATGTGTTTTATTTGAATCAAGAGTGTGCGTGTTTTCAGTGTACTTAAATTATTGATATTGGTTGAGAATACCGTATATAAAATTAACTGTTTCTTAACATCAGTAACTTATTTTAACACAATTAGAAAGGCATTCAATCATGAAAAGCAGATTTTGTAGGTAGTTAAAGAAGTATGTATATTTTTTTGTTTCAAAATTTTCGTAATTTAAAACATGAATCATTTAATTGGTAATCCTGTTATTTGGTGGTTCTGCTGTACACATAAGTGTTTGTGAAGCGTATCACACAAGCTTGTATGACATCAGCCATTGTGTTGGACATTGTGCGTCGAACGAGCTGCAGCTAGGGCTACCTCTTCTGTTTTGCATGTTGCATATTACAGCTACGGATTTGACATTGATGTCAAATAAAACTGTTGTTTTTAAATATGTGTGTCGTTGTTGTGTGTCTTTTTCGTCTTTTTAATAGGAATCTAGGGTTGCAAAATCGGATGTTTTTCGGTTTCGGTTTAGAATTTTCGAAAGTGGCAACCCTAGCGGCGAGAGGCCTCACGCGCCCACCAGTCACGCGCTGATTCACACACATGGGACTCCCGGCTTTGACCAGGGTTGCGATTCTCAAATAAAAACAGTCAATAATCCAAACGGTTACCGGAAGTTTCCATTTCGTTTACACACGTAGGCATTTTTGGTAGTGGAAGGAGTCTAGATATTTCCAATCAACATTAGTGTCTCTACGCAGTTAATAAGTTGTGATTAGCAATTGATTTCTTATTTTCAATGCTTAAGAGTGGCGAAGAAACGCTATAAAACAGAGCTCCTATATATTTTAATTTTGAACAAAAATCGGAAGCTTTATTTATTTATTTTTGCTAAGAGCAACCCTTTTCATTGGTGGCAACATTGCCAGGTCACGATCGTCTTCCTCATTAACATAACGCATAATTTTTAGTCCCTATAGCTTTTTTGGTTTAAATTTAATTGATCTTATTGGCGGTGCGGACGTACTCGGATCGGTTTAATTGTTTTTTTAGTATTTTTTTCAAGATATTTAATAACAGGATATGTAAGACATAAAAATATCGTTGTTGGAGGATGTTGATGTGTCATTGACTACTTATCAAGATTTTTTACCTGTGGTTTTACATATACTGATAGATTTTTAGACAAAGTTATTCTAAGTTTATCTTTCCTAATATTTTTGCGTTTTTTAAACCATGTATTTCTATATGTTATGAATTCTATAAAAGAAAAACATGCACTTCCAGTTTAAAATTTTGTTTTGCCATCTTTTACCGATATTTTTAAAAATTCTGTAGGAATTCAGAATAAAGGAAAAGCTATTATGTTTGTTGTTAAAAAAAATAAAGAGTCCATTTGAATGGCATAAATATAAAATTATTACAAGAAAGTGCCGCCAATAGTTAACTTCTGGAATATTCCTCGTAAACCAAATAATATATTGCGATGACAACTTCTTGGTGAAACGCACGCGAGCCACAAATTTCTGAATATAAGATGGCAAGTTTACTTAAACTGGATTTTAATGGCTAAATTTGTCATATACATAAATAATAAAATGAAAACTTAAGAATAACTATAAAAGAACACGGGTAGTACTAACAATTAACTAGTGCAAAACCAATTATGAAATGTATTCTGAAACAGCAGATAAAACTAAATATAAAGAAGTAGATGTCGATAGAATATTCCTGCGTTTAGATTCATAGCTTTCACACCTTTCTTCATCTCTAATCATTAGTTAGTTATTTTGTAACAATTGCCATACAAATTAGATGTGGAAATATTCGTTGAAGTAGATTGTAAAGCCACCGGGCAGTGTTGGCAAACTGTGAGGCAAGTCGGTCGGCGTATCGCTTCCGTAACTTATTCTGTTGCAACTCCAGTACAATGCTCTGTTTATTATAAATGGAAATAGTGTACATACGTATATAAAGCGATAAGAGAAAGGAATGTTTCGCGTATTGGAATTATCCTTGTTAGATTGGAAATAATTTCGTTCTAACTTTTTTCGACTTTAGAGAAGCAAAGGTAGAATTTGTTACCTGTTTAAATAACTTAACTGTCCTTCAATAAAAACTTGTATCACGAAAGTATGTGATTTTTCTTAATTATATGCTTATTGCATAGATGTCGTCTTATTCATACGATAGGATTTTTCCCCACTCTCTTCATTTAAGACAATTAAATTTAGATTTCAGATCTAATTTACTACATTTCATTGAACAAGGAACTAATTTTAATAAAAAAACAATTACATCCTTATGTTAATGACTCATTGAAATATGAACGATTCTATTCTAGATTCACTTAACAATTTGCACATTCTGGCTGCGTAAGCTAACGCATCTGACATGTCTATCAGATGTCGTGATAGTGCCTACTTTACATGCTGCTTTCACGTACACTATGGCAAGCAGTCAGTACTTTGAATGGGCTTAGCGTGCATTATCCTCACGCGCTGAGTCACAGCCTAGGAATGTCGCGGCGTACCCGTTAAGGTTTGGTTCTGGCTGGGGAGGGACATTCGCCGGCGCCACTGACGTATCCCACAACTATTTCTAAATAGTGATGTCATTTGCTATCTGCTATTTACGTTGCTATTGCGAGCCCTTTGTTATTCACTGTTTTGATAAGCTTTTTACTATACTCATCAGACCTTACAATAAAACACGACACTATACATATTTGTTTCGTATAGTTTATAAATTCTTAGAGCTTTGCCTCTTGAGGTAGGACGGTAAGTAAAGGAGGCTTTGCCTTAATCTGAGTTATAGAAAACAAAAATAATAACTCTATTTTTTACTAAATCTGCGTCATATTTTTATCGTGAATGCCAGCTTCTGTGAATAGAACAATCTACAAAGATACTGCAAACCTATTGAAGGCTGAAGGAAAACACCATAGCCCAAAGACCAGAACATAGACGTACAAAGTAGAACTGAATCGTGCGTCACATAGTTTGGTAACGTGTACTCAGCTCATGCCAAAATAAATATAGAATATTAAAGTACACTCAATAATTTTAAGGATGCATTCACATTAAAAGCAGGTGTGCTTTTTGATGTGAAATAGAAACATGATTTCATTCTGTAGGCGGCTTACCGACAATTTTTGCCGCACAAAAAACGCAGCTCGTGCCTGTTATGTGGGTGTGCCCTAATATTTTTAAATCAAATCAACACTACATCAAAGGGTGATACGTATTCCCACATCACAAACTTAGAGAAATAATTAATGTGCTATAATGAAATGTGGCTTTTTAAATATATTTTATTACGTCTTGGGAAGTCCTTACTTACCATCAATATCTATGTAATTGAAACTGCCCTAATTCTATTATTAGAAGTGAAACGAAGATATTTAACTGATTTTATCCAAATAAGTCTTTTTTTTAATCAAATGAATAATAAATAGTATTACAAGCACATGTAACTTAAAGTATAAACTTGAGAGCTATATTTAGCCACTGTTAGGTATTTCAAATATGATTCAGCCCCGAAAATGCATTCGAGGGCAATGTCTTGAAACCTTGAACTGAGTTGGCATTGCAATACCTAAGTAATTATCGTTCAACGAAGGATACAAATCAAACAATACGTTCGACCTTTAATGTTACCGATCCACACCTGAATCACCTCTACAGAAAAGTACTGTAAGTAAAAGGGACAACCTTTCATTCTCTACTAAAAAACGGAGATAATTCCTACAGGCATAGCGTAACTTTAGAGAGTAATTGCTTAAATGCTTCTTAATGTAAAACATTTGCAGAATGACATAAATCATCCTTACTTAATATTATAAATGCGAAAGTTTGGATGGATGTTTGTCAGAGTTTGTAGCCTAAAAGGCTGAATGGATTTGGATGAAATTTGGTATAGACATAGAGAATAGTCTGGAAGAACACAGGCTACTCACTTTCGTTTTTTTTTTTTCACGCAGACGGGGTCCCGGGCGTAGCTGATTATATTTAATTAGATGTCAAAAAATGTGAAGTTATGATTAATCTATATGTATTTGTCTGCGCATGTCTGAGTAATATGTATGAAATATACACAGTAGCAAATCTATAGTGCGACGTATGTTTTACGCCGGCGCCGATGACGCGGCACACGACAGTCAGCTGTTTGTTAAACATTGTCCCTCTGTTACTGAAAGTGTAGCCTATAGAAATAATACTTTAATATACTATTTGCCTTACGATGTTTTATTGGTGAACAAAGAAGTAATTGATGGTATTGATTCAAGCTTTGTTCAATTGATTGGTCCATTGCTATATTATCTATGTATGATATGGCAATTTAACCCCTCAGCTGTAATTAAATCTATCTTAATGAATTTAATCCGTCTCAGATATCGTCAGAGCTAGTTAGTCACCGTAGATGGATGCAGTTGAGGCTATTTCTAGATATGTCATCATTAAAAATATAATGTACTGGTGGAAAGATTAACTAGAATAGGAAATTACGACGCGTACACCGGCCTTCCATGTAATAAATGCCTTTAGATGTTTCTAGAAAACTTGGATAATCGTACAGTTGTGATACTATTTCGTCTCGGCTTGTTGTGCCTCTGTTAATGAGCGGTACATGTTATAGAAGAGTCTAGATGGGAAGAGGAAATGTATGTGACAGGGGAGAGGCCGTATAGGAAATGGAAATTCCTTCTTTCTGTACGGCCCGCCTATTAATACTAGGCACACATCGACACTATTTCACCCTGTAAATGTCTGTGGTCGGAGATCACTTATTTAACCGAAATCAGGAGGAAGTTTCGTATGCCTTATATGAATAAATACAGTATGATGGTCTTACCTTTTCCCATTAATGTAGAAACATTTTGTTCGTATCTTTGCTTTAGTAAGACGGTAATAATTTCATATGTCGCAAT